TACTAGCTAATCTATTTTTCAGAGTGTAGCCACAGTGCAGTTGTGCAATTTGCTCGCAGTACTGGTTATGTGTGTTGGTTTGTTTGTGTGCGTGTGGATGTGCCTGCTGTGATTTTTTGCCATTGAGGGTTGATTCCTGATGTGCTCGTCCATCAAATTGAGCGTCACTCAAGTATTCAAGTGTGTGTTGCTGTTTTTTATCCTGCAGATACTTCAAAGATTTAATAATGATATAAGAAGAGCTACCATTAAACCTGGCCAACAACAACAACAACCACAGCAACAGCAACAGCAACCATTGAAGAACGTTTGTTTGCCTTTGCGATTTCACTGGCGCACACACACACACACCCAGACACTCACCCACACACAGTCATAGTCAGGTGCAGGATATCAATAGCAGAGTAGCAAAAAAGATAATAGGGACGATGGCAGGCACAAATTAGTGGAGCCCAGAGACGTTGTTATTGTCTCCCGAGTTGAGTTCCCATTGTTTTCGACCAACACCATTTATTGTATCGTCTGGGCCATGGCAACCATGACAAGTCCCTGTTTTGTGCTGCCTGGGTCCTGCAGCCAAAGCAATTCGAGTGTCAAATCTTTTATTTGCCTTTTGCAGATTTCGCAATAAAAATGTATATTGTCAAAGTCGCTCGCCCCGTCCATAGCCATATCCACTGCCCAATCCACAGTCACATCCACAGCCACATCCTTGGCATATCCTTTGGGCGGCGGCGTGTTTGTTTGTGTGCAATAAATTTGCTGACAAAAGAAGGATTATTGCTGGCTCATACCGCTGTCACTGAGAAGGATGCGGTAGCGGGTAGCTCTGCTAGATGCTCACTGGGTTCCTGTCAGCGTGCATTCTTTGGCGTTATTGTTTGCGCATAAGTTAATTGTTCCCCTCCAAAGCTTAAATGCATCGCATCCTTACGCTCAACTTGTCCCCTTCCCCCACTCCACTCCACTCCTCATCTTTTCACATCACTTCACTCCACTCCCAGTCCCAGTCCCAGTCCCATGCTGTGCTTATGCAATGATTAACCGTAGATTGACAGTGGCTCTCTCAGTGGTTTCAGCATGGATTTGGGTCGTTATATTTAGCTATATGCGCTGCTGTGCCATCAATAACTTTCCGCGAGTGTAGATATGGTTACTGTAAGTATACTTACTTAGTAAGTGTACTTATGCAAATTGATAACTACAAACGTAGTGTTTTTAATTCCAGCAACTAGTCACCAACAAAGTTTAGCATTTTAAGAAGTTTGCAGGGGCTGCAAATACTAGACTAAAGATTGATACTTATTTTTGAAATATGTGTAAATTAGACTAATCCTTCTTTTCTTCATTCAGAAACCAAAGATACTACTTTGTGTGAGAGAAAAGTAAAAATATAAGCATATAAATTAAAAGTGGTTCATCATTTTTAAAAAATTGTAATTAATTTAAGGCAAATCAAAAGATAGTTTTACAATGATATATTAAGATAGAGTTGGGTATTTATGTTCGACTGAGTATTTATTTAACATAAATCAGTTTTGATATTACACAAAAAATAATAAATTAAAAAATAAATCAACATTTCATATTGCTTTTATTATAATTTCTTTATGGTTTATGGTTTTATTTGCATAATTTATTTATTTTGTTTTATTTTACTTATGTAATGTGAACAAAAAACAGTCCACAATTTTAATAAAAGGTTTTATGAAATAAATATTTTAAATTAGATTTAATTAAATTTTAATTTTTAATTTACAAAATTATATTAAATTTATATTTTTAATAGGATATAATAAATTTGGGGTCAGGAATATGTAAAATGGTTCAATATTCCTTGCAAGGCTTAGCACAATTCAGAAAAAAACCAATCAGACCAAAATTACACTAGTATCTTATTTATAAGCATAAGATTACCACACCTAAACACTCTCAGAGGTCTCCGAAGAAAGGTAAAAATTAAAAATTTGCAAACATAGAATAAACATATGTCCAGTGTGTAAATTTAATCTTTATCAATATATTATTTTTATTAAATATCAGGCTTACTATCCTAAGATATACCCTTTTATGTGAGTTTTTCTCAGTGAAGGTTTATACGAAAAGATATATAAGAAATAAATTATTTTAATAAATTTGGCTTACATATCTAATGTCTAATTAATGTTATTAATTCCAGATTCGAATTTTATTATTATTATTTTATTATTATTATTTTTTACTTAAAGTCCTGATAAAAAAGTTTCAATTCTGAACTAACCTAAAACACTTACACGAATAAAAATACATATCTTTTAAAAATTGGTTCTGTTCAGAAAAACATAAGGCTGGGAAGAGTTTTTATTAATCCCAAAATACATTTTTGAACGTTTGGGAAGAATTTTTGCTTTAAGTCCGGCGTCCAATTTTAAATGCAGATTTAAATGTAAAAAAAGGTAAAAATTTAGTTAGAAGGAGCTGTTTAGGAAAATCAGTTGAAAGTTGGATAGTTTGGAAACATCTGTACTTAAAGGAGAAGATAAAATGCCATTTTAAGCAGACTGTTTTGCTGGATGTCCAACAGATAAATTAGGGAAAAACTAAATCGACTCGGTTGTTGATGCTTGAAGATGCTTTCTTCAATCTGATACGTATTTTTGCATTTTATCTATAATGAATTAATAATTAACAAAGTCTGTGTATTTATTTTTACTCAAAAGTGTTATTCATTGCAATAAATTAATAGTTATCAAAGTCGGACTAATAATTTTGTATTGTATTGCGTTATTAAACTCGGTTTAGTCAGCGAATGTGATTGGAAATCACATTTAAATTTAATAGTTAGAGACAAATCCAAATCAATAGCTTGTGAAAATCTCTCGTTTATTTTTTATTTTGAATTGAAAACTCTGCGTTACTTTTCGATGTCCATCTGAGCTCGTAAAAGACAAAGGAAATCCGCAATAAATTTACCACAACTGAATTGGGGCCCAAGCCCAAACCAAAACCCAATAAAGCTTGCCTTAGTCGTTGTACACTCACAAACCCATATATAAATACGTATATACACAGAAAGGGGCGTTACCACGCCCATAATATTGACTAAAAATCAGTGATTTGTAAGTGTGGCCAAGTGAGTTTTTGGACAGCGAATGGGATGTGAAGAGGGGGATGGCAATGATGGGAACGGGATGAGCACATGAAGATAGAAAATATAATAATGAAAATCACGCAAGGAGAAAGAAACGATATCAATATTGTCATGAAACAGAATGTGGAGCGGGGCTGGGGAAGTTACCAGCCATTATGGTGTGTGTGTGTTAGTGTGTGTGTGTGTGTGTGTGTTAGTGTATGCTTGTGTGTGTGTTTGTGTGCCAGCAAGTTCCGCAAAACTGAAAACTAATTTGAACAAAGTACAACAAATAAAACTGACTACTGAATGTTTAATTTGAAAAGGGAAGACAGCGAAACAGCAGCAGCAGCAGCAGTAGCAGCAGCAGTAACAATAACAACAACAACAGCAACAACAACAATAACAGCAGCCACAACAACAACTACAATAATGTCTAACAACTACAGAACAAAAACAGCGAAAATGAAAAAGAGAAATAATGCACACACACACACACACACACTCACACATACAAATGAACCCCAGCAGCTCCCCAATTGTGTTAAGGATGTTGCGAAAATGGCGCATTGGCTGCCAGTGGTTGGGGAAGATGTTGCTGCTGCACGAAGAGGCCGGACGATGCGGGGGGATGCGAAATACAACTGATGCTGCACAGAGCTATGATGAAACGAGAACGAGAACGCCCGACATACGGTTAGAAAAACATTCGCACATAAAAATGCTAACATTTGAACGAGAGCTCATACTAGAACACTATACACACACACACACACATACACACACACACATACCTCTCTCTCACTCTGTGTGTGTGTGTGTGTGCGGCTGACATAATGAAACATTATTAAGAGCCACGACGTCAACGCAGCAAAAGGTATCTAAATTTGAGAAAATGCTGCCTGTCAGCCCAGCGGCTCACACAGAGAGAAAGAGAGATAGACACAGAGAGAGAGAGAGAGAGAGAGAGAGAGAGAGAGAGATTGAGAGAGGGAGCTGTGATAGGGGAGGAGAGAGGGACGTCGTTGAGTTTTGGCTTCTGCAGTCGCCTGCCAATTTGCGTCCGCGCCCGCTTCACACAATGGATGGGGAGAGGAAAACACAAATATCACATTTACAGCACAAGCAGAAGGCACTCCACCATTTTATGTTATTACGTATAGTCGCTGAGTGTGTGTGTGTGTGTGTGTGTGTGTTCTCTGCCTCCATCCTTGGCTCGTGATTGGGGGTGCACTTGGTGCCTAGATTGGTTTACAATCTCAGTCATCCCCTGCTGAGAGCAGCAGACGGCTTATTGCTGTCTCGCTTTCTCGACCAGCATAAAAGGGGATGCTGACTACGCTGACGCTGACTGCGCTGCCTGCTGCTGCTGCTGTTGCTGTTGCTGCTGCTGCTGCTGCTGTTGACGCCAGGGATAACGACAACGACGACGTCAGCGGCGGCGGCGGCGGCGGCAACGGCGACGTCGACGACAGTAGAATCACAGTTATTCGAGATACGAAAACATAGCAGCGCCGACAAAAGCTCATGGAAGCGAGAGCGGCAGCGGTTTTCATAAATAAATGTTTGAGTTATGTAGAAAAACATTTCGGGCGAGAAGATTTTCGTTTTCGTTGCGATTCAGTTAACATTTGGCAAAAGGATTCCGCCTAAAACAGACAAGCCGACGGATGACGCGACATCACACAGACAGACAGATCACTACCCGATATCAAAAGTCGCTACAAGTGACAAGTTTTGCATTAAGTCATTTGAAAAGCGGTAGCGGAAGCGGTAACGGATTAGACATCTGCAACAAATTAGTGTGTTCGAATAAAATGTATCACAGTTTTTAAAATCGTGAAAGTGCTAAGAAGATTAAAAGCATTAATCAGTTCCTGAGCAATAGTGAAAAAATAGTGAAGTGTTACGTCCTCTTCTCAGTAAGTGTAAATAGATACGCTACCAAAGACTCAGTGAGCTCAATAAAAGGATTATAATCGAAATGCACACCAGCACGGATCCCATGCACGCTCTGCACGACAGCTCCTCACCGTCGCCGCCATTGCACAAGAGTCAACGGGGCACATTCTCGCGTGCTGCCACCGCTGCGGATGAAATGTCCATGATCTGTGACGACAGCGATTTCGAGCCGTCGGCCGCCGGCGGCAGCAGCAGCAGCGGCGGTGATAATAACAATGGCGGCAGCAGCTCCACCAGCGGCGGCGGTCCTCTAGTCAAGCCGCCATATTCCTATATCGCCCTGATCACCATGGCCATACTACAGTCGCCGCACAAGAAACTAACACTCAGTGGAATATGTGATTTCATCATGTCCCGGTAAGCATCACCAATCAATTGTAATCCAAGTGTACAATTACCGGATGAGAACAGCCGTCAGACTAAATTTCTAATACCTCAATTTGATACTTATTATTTAAATATCTGTGAATCGGAATAATTATTCTTAACTTATCGGTTACTCAAGATGGCACTTTAATTGAGAGAAAAATAAAATCAATTAAAATAATTGTAATTAATTAATAAAGAGTCTGTGCAATTTAATCATGTTAACTGATTTTGCAATTATATATATAATTTTGTACTTATACATGGTTGTATATTGATAGTCTGCTTAATTTATAGTTAGAACAACTCGATTTTTATATTACACATGAAATAATAAATAAAATAATACAAATAATAAAAGTCAATTTAATTAAGTGTTCCACATATTATTTTTTTTTAGATATGCAGACAGAGAAAAAACATATATCAAATGTGTAAATTCAATTTTTATAAATATTATTATTAATTGTCCCAAAAAAAGGAATTTTTTTTAAATATCAAGCTTATGATCTGTCATTGCTAACAACGCGAGTTGAAGTCAAAATTAGTGAAAATCCTATAGGTAACTGATAATTTGGCAGAGGATCAATGCTAGCCCCAACAAAGGGTAATTTTCTATATTTATATTTTCTATATTTGTTCACATTTATTCTTTTCATGTACTTTGTCTGAAGTGGTTCCTACAGAGCTTACTGTACCTAGGTCCAAGGAGCTGTTCTCAAAGCACTAAAATGTGTTAATTTATTGTAGTTATTATTGTTGGATATGATCACAAGATATAATCATTTTTATATACGTTTTTTCTCTTTGAAGGTTTAATGAGAAAATAAATTATTAAAATTATATTATTATTATTATTATTCTTATAATAATTTTAGTTTAGTCTTGAAATCGAACCATGTAAAAAATGAAAGCTTTATGAAGAATATAGAATAATTGGAAGTAATCGTGAATAGAGTTTAATATGAAAATCCCTTTGATCTTTACAGTTTCCCATACTATAAGGACAAGTTTCCCGCTTGGCAAAACTCCATTAGACACAATCTCAGTCTGAATGACTGTTTTATTAAAGTTCCACGCGAACCGGGTAATCCTGGCAAGGGCAATTTCTGGACGTTGGATCCCCTCGCCGAGGACATGTTCGACAATGGCAGCTTCCTGCGTCGAAGGAAACGCTACAAACGGGCGCCGGCAATGCAACGCTTCTCGTTTCCGGCCGTCTTTGGTACACTGTCACCGTTTTGGATACGGAAACCGGTGCCACTGGTACCGGTCCACTTCAATGTGCCCAACTTTAATGGGAATCGCGACTTTGATGTGATGCACACGCCGAGCGATGTGTTCGACACGGCGCTCCGTGTGGATAAAAAGTTCAATTTCTTTGCCAATGCGGAGGCTTCGTTCTATCAGAACAACAGCGAGAAGTTCGATCGTCTGTCCTTCATCAATCGCCGGACGGAGGATGCGCCACACAGCAGTGCCGCCAGCGATCTGAGCAGAGCCCACAAGTACAAAAATCCATATGCATTTGATGTTGCTGCTGCTGCAGCTGTGGGTCTTGGCAGTGCGGCCGGTGAGTATCCGGACCGGGACAACGATACGGATCTCAATGTGTACAATGATGAAGTGGATGGAGATGATACCTCGTGCGACAAAATCGATGTGGAGAGTGCCAATGAGCATGAGCAGGACTCACATATCTCGGACTCGGTGGACTCGGTGTGCACGAATCCAAATCGATTGGAGGCAGCAACCCGTGAACCGGACGCCGAGCCGGAGCGCACCTCGCCCTATGTGATGCTCTTCGATCATGCGGATCCAGCGTCCAACAGTTCGCTAGCAATTACGTCCAGTCCCAAGAAGCCAGTGCAGGCGCATACGCACAGATCTCTGACCAGGACGACCCTGCTCCATCTGGATAGTGAACCAGCCAGTCTGCGGTGCGGCCGCCAAACCAATGCTAAGGATTTCCGCATCGAGACGCTGATTGGCCATGGGCACAGCGATGGAGCGGCCAGTGATTAGGTGATCCCTTCAACCTGATAAGAGTTCTCATTGCACATGTGTTTGTACACTCGAAAGAAATGTGGAAAATCGATTTAAATTTTAAACAGTCAAATAACAATAGAAATTTTCGAAATTAATTAAAAATTTTTAAGAATAAAATTGAAAAATGTTTGAGAGTGTATATAGCCATATGCCTGTGTATATTCCAGTGATTTCAGTTACGATCTAAGCATATTTTAACAATTCTCTGTACGTTGTAAACTTTAGCTGTAGTAGAAATGCATCTGCACAACAAACAAACATTCTCATGTCCTATGTATCTCCTCACGTCCGATCAGCTTGTAGTGATTATATCTGGATGGATGCATATTCGAGATACTTTTATGCCAGCACAAAATTTTAATGCGACCAAAAAAACAAAAATAGAAACAAAGAAAAAAACTAAATAAATAAAACGTGTCCACTTCAATTGTATAAAATATACATATGTATTTGCATTATAAACCTGAGTGTCAGATGAAGACAGAAATACACATATATACTCTATATATATATATATAAAGCAAAATTATACATTTAAAACATACTTTTTAAAGCGATTCCATATATAGTGTATAGAAGTGTATATGTATATGTATGTCAACTATATGTCTCTCTGTGTGTGTGTGTTGTGTGTGTAATTAACATTTTATGCAAATACGCACAGCACATAAAAAACTATTAACTATAGCTTAGATACTAAGAAATTTGCTGATGTTATTGAAAATTGAATAAACAGTATAATTAGAAAAACGATTCGAGATGATTTTCGACTAATTATTAAAGTTTGTGCACTTTTTATATATATAGTTACAGTATTAAGTTGGAGAAGTAATTTGACAGTAGTTGGTAAGTTGATCTGTTGCTAAACCAATTAAACACTAATTTAAAAAATATATCTTAGCTGAGCACATTTAAATTTAATTTAACTTTGAATTTTTCTCATAAACTGAAGATCAATTTTTATATGAAATCTATAAATATAAATAGATTAACTATAGAATAATATAATTAATTAATGCATTTCTCTAAAGCAACATTTGCGAGCTGATTTCGAAGTAACAGTTTGTGAACAAAGCCAAAAAAATAATGCTTATAATTTATTTTTGAAACTTATACCCCAATCGAATAAGGTAATTATCCAATCAGTTAAGTAACAATTAACTATGAAACGGTGCACTTGCCACTTGCCACTTGGCACTCGGCACTTGCAACAAGTTCATTGCAACCCCAAAAAGTTTGAGTTGACTTGAGCACCAAATACTCTCCAATTTTTGCCCAACTGTCAAACTCAAACGTCAGTTGTCAAAAATTTGACGCATGCGCTTTCGCCGCTCAGCTGTTTGCGACTGTTGTGCAGGATGAAAAAGGACGACACGTTGAGTGTGCGTCAGCACAGAAAGCTCGCTCGATGCTTACACCAAAAAGCTCTGGCAGTGCTCTGTAGTTTTGTGTAGCTTGCTATTCCAGTGTTAAAACATTAAAAGCTAGGCTGGAAAAAGGACAACAGTTAAATAGAAGATACCAACACTATTGGTATCCAGCGGTACGGAGCTGCTGCAAACTCCATTTGGCATAATTCCCCACACACACACACACACACGAACACGAACACACACGCAAACAAACACACACACACACACACAGCCACACACATCGTCTCAGAAGCTCGCATACAGCGACACACACAGCAAAAAGTCGATTTTTCACCAACATAAAAGTTGTATATGTGCAAAACTTTCAATTGCTGCATTTGCACACTAGACGCATAATTAAATAACCAACTGTACAAACGCAAAAAATATACAAAAAACCGTTCTCAAGATGTGCAACGCGAGTGTGTGATAAAGAAGTGAGCAGTCCAGAGGATTTCCCCAATTATTGTTTTTTCCGTATTCGCGTATTTGGCTGCCCCAAAATGCTGAGCTCATCATAGAGAGCGTTGAAAAGTTTGTGGCAGCAGCAGCACCAGCAGCACTGATACAAAACTTTTAGTCAAGCAACCAACACTCTCCAACCCCCATCCCCGTCCCCCTCAGGCTCAAAATTGGCCTGTTGTGTTGTGTTTTGTGATGATATGTTTATGGTAATAAGTAAAGTGATAATAACTCGTGTGACTAGACGCCTAAAAGGCTGTTGAGCAATGCACAACGGCCGGGGGCAAGCGACGCCGACGACGAGAGCCTGAGTCGGAGACTGAGCCTCAGCCTGAGCCGGAGCCGGAGCTAGAAGTTTGGGGTTTGTGCAGCAACAACAGCAACAGCAACAGCAATCGAAGTAGAAGCGGGACAACGATAAGCAAAAGCTACGGCTGCAAAACGAGAACAACAACGACGAGTGGAACGACCAGGTCGACGACTAGGACGCGCACATGGCGAGCTGGAGCTGGAGCATCGTGTGCACAACGCTGCTGGCCGGCCTGACGTTACTCACGGGTAAGCTGAGAATATAATTACCTTTTCACATCAGCTAAAGCTAACGGGTAATTCGTAATTCGTAATTCGTTTAGTGACCCACACGGTGCGCATTACGAATCTCCGAGTGCCGCACACCTACACACTCGAACGTGATAATGAGCCAGATCCTCTGGTGTTGGACTGCGAGTACGAGATGGGGCCGATGGAGAAGGGCTTTGTACTCAAGTGGCTGTTCAACAATCACTCCATCTACCAGTGGATACCCTCCGTAAAGGGTTTCGCCATGGTGAGTCATCACCAGCCCCCCATCATTATCATCATCGTCACCCCATTTGAACGCAAGAAGTCAAACACACAAGGAACAAAAAACAAAAAATTAATTAACATAAAATTTGCTTTCTTTTTGCTCTTCTTGTCTTTGCTGGTGTTGTTGCTGTTGCTGTTGTTGTTGGGACTGCGACCCTTGCAGGGCTTCATGAAGGCAAAGATAGACACCAAAATATTCACCATGGAGGGCAGTCCCGGTGTTATATCGATAAAGAATCCCGACTGGAACATGACGGGGGAATACACCTGTGCCGTGCAAACCTTTGAGTCCACGGATAAGCGAAGTGCCCGCTTACAAATAATCGGTATGTTCTTCTTCTTCTTCTTCTTCTTCTTATTGTTGTTCTTGTTGTTGTTCTTGTTCTTGTCTCTGTTTAGACAATTTATTTATTTATATGTTTTTATTTCTAAGCACTCTACACAAAATGAGGTGCTATTCATGCTTATTGCTTATTGAAAGAGGAGACTTTTTGTAAACTATGCCTATAATTTGTGCAGATAGTTCGAATTGTAGATCAACATATATTTCAAACGAAAGTCTAGATTATAAAAGTATATTATAAAAATACTATAAATATATATTAAAAAAAAAGTGTTTTTTTTTCGTAGTCCGATTTATTCTTAATCATTTATTGGTCAATTACAGAATTATTTTTAGAAAGCAGCCAATAATCCAAAAATCTAATTATTTTACAGAGCAAGTTTTTGATTTATAGAAATATTTTAAACTTTATTACAACAGATGGCTTTTTATTTTTATCATAAGGAAATATTAATTTATTGTTTTTTAGTAATTTAATAATTATGTTATAGACATGAAAGTTAAATTGGGGAGTCTAGTTAATATTTTGTAGGGCATTAAATGTGTCGACAGTGCCAATGCTCTGTTTTCCTCACCTGTTTATGGCGTGAAATTGTTTGCATAGGTGTTTTGGTAGGTGTGTCCCATATGTGGGCGTGTGTTTATATGTGTGTGTGTGTTTTTGCGGCACGTGCGACTCATATTTGCATGCGTGTCATGTGGCATTCGCTTCGGTTACAAAACGCCCGCCTCTTGTTTTTATTTGTTTTTTTTTTGCCTTATATTTCAAAAGTTTAGTTTTGGTGGGTTTTTTTTTTGTTTTGTTTAGTTTGACACTTGATTAATTCTCACGGATTTTTTGCCCGTTGTCTCCCCATTCCAATGCCCAACTCGATATGCAAACAGTTCCTGAGTCCGATTTCATGCTGGAGGCACGCATGGGTGGCGAGCAATCAGATGTGGACATTATGTGCGCGGTGCAAAATGTTTTCCCACAGCCGGTGCTCTCTGTCATGTAAGTAAAGCGAACTCTGTTGACCAATACCAATACAAAAACAACAAAAACAATGTTCGATTTATCTATATCGATATCGATGGCTTGTCTTTTGACTACAGCTTCGATACACACATACTGGACTCGGTGCTCACACAGTTGGATCAGAATCCGAGCGGTCTGTACAGCATGACGGTGCGGACGCGCATTCCTAGAGATCAACTCGAATCACCCACACCGATAACATGTGCGTTTTTCCTGCTTGGCACTAACTATACCAAACGCAGGGAGACTATTTTTTATGGTAAGTAGAGGTAAGCAGGCTGGCCAGCCGCCAGGTGGGCTCTCGCTGTTGACCAGTGTGTTAATCGAAATCGTGTATTCTCGGGATATTGCAGATAAAGCCACAAATATACAACGCAAATGGACAACAGTCGCCGTAGTTATGTCGATCGCATCTTTAGCTTTAAGCAGTTAGTTTCGTAGTGATTTTTGTAGGCTATGTACGTATTTGTTTTTATGTTCGTATAGAATGTTTAACAATTTTTAATTTTTAAATAGAATTTTAAAACGATAAACGTAATTTTTTGCGGTATTTTTAAAAAAGCGCTTATTTTGTAAATGCATGTAAATGTAAGAGAAATGAAATGACATACACGATAAAAATGATGAAAAACCAAAACCAACAAAACAAAAAAAAAACACACACACACACACACAAAACAAAACACACAAAATACAAACAACAAGAAACACTAAACGAAACAGTAAACAAAAACAAAAGAACAAACAAACAACCACACCAACAAAACTAAAACAAATTATTGTATTCATATATTTACCATATAAATAAAAATATATATATATAAATAGTTATGTATGATGTATAGGTCTAATTGAGTACAGAAACGCTAATAAAAAAACCAAACGAAAACATTAAAAGTGCATTAAATAAGTTATTTTTTGTGTTTGAGTTTAAATACTTAACAACAAATTAAGGCTTGCTTTAAGGGTGCAGTGCTTTCATTTATTTGAATTTCAAAATTGAAAAACTATCGATTATTTTACTCAATTGGCAAGGCAGTCGAATGCCAACAACAACTCTGCGTTTGATGAGTGTGCAGCCCTGGTGCGCATGCACGACACAAGCACTTCCAGTGCGCTTTCCAGAACGCCTATGAGTATGCAGTGAAAATGACAGTAGTGGCAGCAGTAGCAGCAGCAGCAGAGAAATCAACATCGTCGTAAACTTATTTGGCAAAAAAAAAAAAAAATAGACGCCAGACGAGAGCCAAGGTTTCTGCTCCCTTGGCCCATTGATTGGATAATCCAACAGAGCGAAGAGAGATAGAGAGCTGATCAATGAGCGCAATAAAGCAAGGCAACATGTTTTAGTATTATATTAGCTGTGGCTGGCAACGCGGTGCGACAGGATCAACAGCAGCAGCAGCAGGCGCAGCTGAAGCAGCTAATGCATCAGCATGGCTACGTCCGGCGACGGCGACACCATCAACACCATTGACATGGACAGCTCCTCCACATCGCAGGCGAAATTTGCAGAGCTAAGCAATGGTAATTAAAACGATACACTGACAAAAACTTCGCTCAACTTAACACAAAATATATATATATATATATGCTAAAACATAGACAAATTCACAGCCAAAAAAATCAATGAATGGCAAAATGGAAGTGGCCGTGGCGCATGTGTCTCGAAAGTAGGCAGAAGAAGAAGCGGTGGCTGGTGGCATGTGGTATGGGTGAGGGGTTGGGATTGGGGTAGTGGTTGGGATGGAGGCCATCCCCATTTCACGGATTGACTGACTGACTGACTGGTTGACTGGTTGACCGACTGTTTGACTGAGAACTCGCTTACAATTGATACACATTGAGGAAAGACTAAAAAAAGCAAATAAATAATAATCAAAGAAAACTTTTAAATGGCCAACAACCTGTCAACTATTTATGGATATTCTCACTGCGAGGGTGTGTTGTATGTTATATATGCGTGTGTGTGTGCGTGTGAGTGTGCTTCTGTGTGTGTGCTTCTGTGTGTGTGCCTCACCTAAGTTCAAGCTCAAGTTGATGTGTTTCCCAGTTGGGTCATTGGCTATTCATGTCCAGCGCTTTCTAAATTATGGATAAACTTAACAACACATAAATGTGGTTAACTAATAATAATACCAACTATCCACTTCCATTTCCACTTCCACTTCTACTTATAGTCTCCACCGACCATGTGGGTAACTCATCGCCCGATGTAAGTAGAGCCATTACACATGTGTCTAAATATATATATCTAGTATTAAAATCGTGCGTATTACTCTCAGTTGGGCAATCGACCGTTGCGGGCGGCCAACAAAACGGACAAAGAACGAAAACTTGGTCATCGACGTGTCGGCGAAGGCGGCGAGATTACCTACAAGAAGATACAGACATCGCAAATCATGGGATCCATACAGCTGGGCATACAGCATACCGTAAGTGAAAAATAATAAAAACATTATATTTTTGAAATATTAACGTTGCTGCTCTCGTTTTGCAGGTTGGCAGCCTGGCATCGAAGCCCAAACGGGATCTACTTATGATGGACTTCTGGGAAATCGAGAGCATTACGTTTCCGCCAGAGGGTTCTAGCCTTACACCTGCCCACCATTATAGTGAATTCAGATATAAGATCTATGCCCCGATTGCATTTCGTTACTTTCGTGATTTGTTTGGCATACAGCCTGATGATTTTATGGTCAGTATTCTGTATAATTTATAAAGATTTTCAATTTAATACTTGTTCATATTCAACAGATGTCCATGTGTACTTCGCCACTGCGCGAACTATCGAATCCAGGTGCTTCCGGCTCAATATTCTATTTAACGGACGACGATGAGTTCATTATCAAAACGGTTCAACACAAGGAGGGTGAATTTTTACAAAAACTACTGCCTGGGTAAATAATTGACAAAAACCAAATACAGTGGCCTCTTTCCAAGGCTTGCCTCCCTTTTCTAAGAAACTTATACTCACAATTTGGCTAATTGTAAACTTTAAGTTTCCTCGGTCAGCTTTTTTCTTTTCTTTTACTTTTAGTGACCTTGATAAAGTTAAAATATACTTTGAAATTGATAGTTAATTACACTACCAATCACATTTTTAGAGACCTTTGTATTTGATTTTGACTGAGACTGTTCTATTTTATTTTTTGTTTGCAGTTACTATATGAATCTGAATCAAAATCCGCGCACCCTATTGCCGAAATTCTTCGGCCTTTACTGCCTGCAAACGAGCAACGCCAAAAATATTCGTCTGGTGGTCATGAATAATCTGCTGCCGTCTTCGGTGCGAATGCATCTCAAATACGATCTGAAGGGATCGACGTTCAAGCGTAAAGCATCGAAAGCGGAACGTGCCAAGAAATCGCCCACATACAAGGACCTGGACTTTATGGAGCAGCATCCAAATGGCATATTCCTCGAAGCTGAAACGTATTCAGCACTGATTAAGACTATTCAAAGGGATTGCACGGTGCTGGAATCCTTCAAGATTATGGACTATTCGCTGCTATTGGGCGTGCATAATCTGGATATCGCACTCAAGGAGAAACAGAGCGAGCAACGTAAGCCGATGAGAGCACCGCTCGCCGAGGACTCGGATGTCGATGAACCCCTTGATGCGGCAGAGGGCGATGGCAAAGATCGGGATGCGGCAACGGGCATCAGCCGGAACAAGTGAGTATTTCTCATGTTTAAAACTAAAGAAGAGCATTTTATGATATGCTAATTAAGTATGGCATACAGATCGGTGAATCGACAGCGTCTAGTGGCACATTCAACGGCCATGGAGAGCATTCAGGCGGAAAGCGAACCCATCGATGACGAGGAGGATGTGCCGTAAGTCTGAATACAGTTCAAACATCACTCAAAAGTGTATAACTCATTGATGCTCGTATCGATTTAGGCCCGGTGGCATTCCGGCTCGAAGTGAGAAGGGCGAGCGACTCTTGCTTTACATTGGCGTCATCGACATACTGCAATCGTATCGGCTCAAAAAGAAACTGGAGCACACATTCAAGAGCATCATACACGATGGCGTGAGTGAAAATGGCAGCTCAATTATTGTAATTTGAATACATTATCTATGTTACTACTATCATCCATATAGGAGACCGTTTCGGTTTGTCGGCCCTCGTTCTATGCTCAAAGATTTCAAAACTTTATGGCTAAGACCGTATTCCGCAAGATACCATCGCGTAAGTCAGCTGGCTGTGTCGCAATTGGGTCAAGTACTCGTACTATAAGGCATTTTTGTGCTACAAAAAACTACAAAAATTGAAACACATCAAAAAGAAAAGAAAAATAACCAAACAGCAACATAAGAAAAACTACTCCTTGACCATGGCGTCGTTTTTTTGCGTAGCTGCCAAACACACTCAAGTAGCTTGAGACACACATACACACACACTCACACACCTAAACACACACACACATTAATATTTGTAAAATGCTAATTTTATTGTCTTTAATTCAGTTCTTATGCAGCAAAAATGCAATATAGTATATAGTACACATGCCCTTATGCGCTAACATTTGGTAGTCGGCTAATTTGTTGTTTATTCTTGAAACTTGTAAACCGTAATTTGAAAATTTGATTTTGTATTCTATGGGAAAAACGATCCGACAACAAAAAATGCTGTTTTTTTCTGCTTTCTTTTGGATATTACTTTGATGCATTACTTCACTTGTACGCATAGTGGATCTCCCAGAGATCAAAGGAAATCACAGAAAATTTCGTACCTTGGTAACCAGTTATATAGGTAAAGAAAACAACAACAATAACAATAACAATAACAAACAAAAAGAAAATGCAAATAATTAAATAATGTTTGATAATTTTTACTCACGATGTTTCAGTTTCAGTTTAAGAAATATCTTTTTTACATAACTATTAAGTTTATTATTCACTTTGGTTTCTTTTTTTCATTTGATTTCCGCTTCTGTTTAACGGCACTTGGTGGTTGGTGGGTTGATTGATTGATTGATGAAACCTCCGGACGCAAAGCATGCCTCGCAATTGCACGTTAGTCTTCATCCTTGTAACCCACATTCAATTGTAAACCGCAAAATGATCTTTGGCTTTGCTTAAAGTGCTGCTTCATTTTTTGCCTTATTCCTAATTCACGATTAATTATAATTTATAGTAAATGCTTGCTGCTTGATTGAACTAATTCGTGTTGTTTGCCACCATTTTTATAGCGCTCAAGCATTCGCCATCGAAGAGAAAAAGCCTCTCCAAGGCCATACAGCGCTCCATTGACAGCGAGAGCGAGCCGACGCGACGTAAGTGTTGAGGATGGGATGAGCATCTTTTGGGGAGAAAGAGGAGAGTCTACTTATTGCCTTATTTCGCCTTTCAGCTGTGCACACCTCGCACTCACACAGCAGCGGCAAAATACACCAGCAATCAAAGCCAGAGCCTGCGTCAACCGCTCTCAACTCGGAGCGTGATAGAGATCGAGATAGGGATAGAGATCGTGATCGTGATCGAGATCGGGAAAGTGGGCGTGCTGGGCTGAGCAATGCACCGCCGCCTGTGAGGCAGCGAGCGTCCACATCGGCCACCTCATCCGCTGCAGCTGGCAGTAATCTGAAGGCGCGTGTGCCACCGCCCGTGCCACCACGTGGCTCGCCACGTCGCAAGGACACCCCGGACAGTCGGGCGCACTCCACCACTCCAGGTATATCACCCAACGATAATAATTATACTGCACACACAGCCTCCATCTGCAATGCAAGCAACTTGCTCCAGTTACCCATTGCTGCCGAGGCAATACCCCGTTTTGGGGATCGTCGCTCACCCAGCAACGTGCAGGATTGGCTGGAGCTGCACGATCTGTTTGACAGTGGCACTCCGCCACCAATGGTGTCAGTGCATCGCAGTAGCTCTGTGCGCCGCCGGGAATCGCTGCAGTCTGGCTACTCCACGGCACGCTCCGACAGCACTTATCGACGCCATCAGCAGCAGCAGCAGCAGCCCCGTCTGCTCAACCACGTGGACATCTTCCAGCGACAGAACAGCTTTATGGCACGCAGCGAACGCTCCTCGGTCGGCTCCATTGTGCGCAGCTTTCCACCCATACGCGCCGAAAGCTATCGCACCGCTCGAACAACAGTTAGCGCCAGCACCCAGACAGGATCTCCCCGTATGACGAAACAGGAGATGCAGCGGCATCAGAAACGCAATCGGTATTTGCAATGTGTGGATCTGGCATTGGGTGAGGAGAATGGCTGCGATGGCCAGGAGGATAATCTGCTGCAGTCCGTGAGCGCTTTTCTCGAGGTCAAGCGCGAGCTGGAGGGCACATTTAACCGACCGAGAGCGCTGCCAGTGCTCGAGGTGACGCCTTCAGCAGATCAAGTGCCAGACATACATGTAGAGCAACAGCAGGGCGTCGATTTGGCTGTGCCACAGCGACCGAGGCGTGGCAAGCGACGTGCACCGAATGCGGCACCATCAACGATACCCGAGAGCACGGACACGCAATCGAATGGGACCTTGACTGTCAAGGATTCACGACGCAATAGTTGTGCCTAACAACTGCTAGATGCATGCTTAACATCTCACTTGCTCATAATTGTCTCATTTGCAAAAGCCCAACTCCCCCAATTGTCTGTGCCGACTTCGTCGCTCATTGTAATCTTTGTGTTCTCATTGTATTGCTAGGCACAACTCCATCATGCAGTTCAACACCTCCCCCTGCCTTTGACGACATCTCCGAGGACAGCTCGAACAAGAATAGCACCTCGTCGATTGGGCGACGATCGCATCATCATCATCATCATCCTCACCAGCAGCAACAGCAGCAGCAGCAGCAGACTCCGTATTATCAGCAACAGTATTCGGAACGTAAAATGAACATTGGCCCCGCCTATCGAGGCTCCTACAAGGAGGATATCGTTAGGTAAACAAATCAAATTGATTAAATTTCGAATTTTGAACGAATTGTGCTTCTAGCGTCTCTGAGGTGCATCTGGACACGTTTCTGGCTGTGGACACATCGTCGAGCAGTCATTATGGGTCGCGTGGCGGCTTGGCATGGACGCCACCGGCATCAGGTGAGGGCTCAACACCCACTTGGACAGAGGGCACACCCAGTTTTACGGACTCCAGTTCGAGTGGTGATCTCGGTAATTGGCACTTGTCATTTGTAATTGCAATATTCGCCTGTTTTATTATGTTTTATGTACTGTTACTACTACTACTGTATTCATTCACGCTTACAATCGTAGACAACTTCTCGCCCATAAACTCATCTAAAATCGATCGACACAAGCCGACGGTGGAAGATGCCATCAACTCTCTGTCCTCGGGAATGGTAAATATCACTGGTGCTGGCAATCTCTAGATCGACTCCTACTACTCCTTTGAATTAAAAATCCAGTTAGTCAAAAGTTAACTCAAAACCCCCACACTCACACATACGCACACACACACACAGACCTGAAGAGACCCACCTGATAGTTGCACACATGCCCAAAATTTCAACACGCTGTATTTGTATTTGTTGTTGTTGTGTTTTTTATTTCTTAAATTGTTTTTTGTCTGGCTGCGTTTTCAACACAAACACACACACCCACACGCACACACCCATACACACAAATTAATGTACCTTTTTGCATCATTATAGATCAACTAACATAGCATGTGATGATGGGGATGACACAGAACAACAACAACAACAACAACAACTACTTCTCGTTTACATGGTGCAAACAGATTTCGAATGAAAGACAAAAATACAGACACATATACATATATAGACATCATATTATAAAGGGAATGCTTGCGCGTTTGGATATATATATATATATATATACACACTGTTATGTATATGTATATAGTATATACATAGATATGTACATATTTGTGTACGAGTGCACTTGTATAGCTAGGATTATAATCAAAACAAAAGCGCCCTCGTAGAACTAACTCCATAACCAACAACAAAAGACAACAGATTTACACCCAGCAATATCTTCATGCATACGTATATATATAGATATATACAGGATACCAGCAACAGATATTGTTCAACACCTATATACAATATATATATATATATATATATACATATATACCAATATATATGTGTATGTTATACGGAAACAATAAATTTATCTATTGCATGCATGAAAGCAACGATAATTATAATTGATATTTAATATATATACAAATACATACAAACAAAAAATGCAAAAAGAAAACTTAAGATCAAAATCGTTGAAAACATTCAATATCCAGTTCCCGTTCCTTTCCCCATATAGTACCATAATATAAAGTGTATTGTAAAGGTTCATTCGATGATATTTGATTAAAGTAATATGGATAATATCAAATTCTACAATACTCTCAACTTATTAAGCAAACAAACATTTTTTTGCGATACTTTCTATCTCCGATATATCCACATACGTATTATGTACTTATGTATAATCAGCAATCGCGATATTACAATATTGTTGTAAAATATTTACATTTATAGGACAGAAAACCAAAAGCAAAATTCTATGCATATTATTCATTTGTATTTATTATTAATGGTAATTGTAAACATATTTAGGTTTAACTGACGACACGCACTCAAAACAAAAACATTACGACGGGATGACAAAGAAATGAAAAATATATAACACAGAGACGGAATTACGGACCGGATAGGGATAGGACTTGTACCCGCAAAACCAATACGAAAGAATTGATTATTTATTAATTAGTTGAATGTTATTTAACTTATATGCATTATTCTAAAGATTAACTGAAATCCAATTGTAATTACATACAATAAATTAAATTGCAAGGTTGAAATTCCGGCTCTGCTCTGCTCTCTCCACTCATTTCAAATGCACATTTTCTAATTGTTTAACATATGCAGTACTAGTACAACTTTTGCAAATCCTTCAGCGATTGATTCAGAAACTGATTGGTCCAGTCGTTCTCCGGATTGTCCAAGTGATTATCGAAATCGATGACATCCCGCATCGCGCCCCGCTTCAGCAGCAACGAAACACCCTCCAGCGTTTGTGCTGTTTGCACAATGGAATATTTGGCCTTTGACCAGCGCGTCGAGTCGCTCGCATAGCCATAGACGTGAAGCGCCGCCCGATTGTGCTCCAGGGACATCAGCTTGTTCTCGACAATCGCAAAACAGGCGTTCTTGTAGTTCTCCACTATTTTGTCAGCGATCTTCGCTGCTGGCGCCTTATCAATCTGATTGTCGTAGAAGTTCTCCGGTGCAGCATAGTAGCCGGCAATCACCAATCCCTCGCCATCAGCATAGGTATCGATCTGCAATTGCATACATTTAGCACTAGTAGTACAAATAGTACAAATTTATTTTAATTTACCTGATTTAGGGCTATTTCCGCCATTGGGGTCACATGCAGGCACTGGTGGAAAAGTGGAATTGCATCCGTAATTTGGACTACGGAACCTTTTTGCTTCTTCTCGGCCAGCAGTAGGCCGTTGACCGCCTGGTGTGGATATTTGGCCGCATGGAATACGATTTTAGCGTACGCCGTCTCGGAAAACTCATATTCACACATTTCAACTGATTATTTTGTATATATTTCTGAAACAAAACGTTGACTTGTAACTTTTCTACAATCAATTAGCTATCAGTGTGACCGTATGTGGCAACCACGTAAATAGGCCAAAACTTCACATGAGAAAATACCAGCAAAAATACTGCTCTGCTTAACGAATGTTATCGTGCCTAGCAGCTGTTAAAGCACAATTTATGCCAACTTGAGTTCAATGAATATTTGAAGAAAAAACATGAATAAAATATGTATAACATTTTATTACTTAACTGTTCGTCTGCGTCCCGATCTGTTATTGGTTTCTGTGCTTACGCTTATTATATATTGTAACTAAAAAATATATATATGTATATATATACGTATGTTTGTAATTATATGTATGTATACGCAGCGGGTGCCCAACTGACTCCAAAGAAAGAAAGAAAGAGGAGAAATACTAAGACTACTGGTTGTCATTCAATATTGCTTTGATATCATCCGCATCCAGAGTCTCGTATTTCAATAGTGCCTCTGCCAATGCCTTGTGCTCCTTTGTATGCTTCTTCAGAATCGCCTTCGCTCGCTCATAGCTATCGCTCAGGATACGCTTGATCTCGGCATCCACAGCCTCAATGGTGTTCGGTCCGAGGCTCTCGCCCGAGCCCAATCCTTTGGGCGACTCAATCGTACGCAGACCGACCTTCTCCGACATGCCCCAATCCTTGACCATATGTGTCGCAATCGATGTCGCCTGCTTCAGATCACTGCTGGCGCCCGACGTGATCTTCTCGGCGCCAAAGATAATCTCCTCGGCCGCACGACCACCCATCATGGTGTCCATCATGGCGAGCAATTGCGCCTTGGTGACATGATAGCGTTCCTTCTCCGGTATGTAGGCGGTGTGTCCCAGCGACGGACCACGCGGCATTATCGTGACCTTGTGCAGCGGATGCGATTCCTTCGTATAAAAGGCAACAATCGCATGTCCTCCTTCATGGTAGGCGGTTATCGTATTCGCCTCCTCGTCGGGCAGACGCGCCTTGCGCTCTGGACCCATAAGTACCTTATCACGTGCGGTCTCCAAATGTTTCATACTCACAGTCTCAGCTCCATCAATGGCAGCTCTGTGAACAAAAACAAACAGAATTCAAATCAAAATCCTTGCTCGATATACGTGTATATTATTGACCCACCTCAGTGCCGCCTGGTTAATCATATTCTCCAAGTCGGCACCTGTAAATCCGGAGGTGCCACGTGCCAGCAGATCCAAGTCCACGTCATCGTGCAGTATCTTTTCCAAATACAAAGAGAGAATCTCTTTGCGACCGGTAAAATCGGGTGTGGAGACCACGACTTCGACATCAAAGCGACCCGGACGCAACAGGGCCTGATCCAAGTCATCGCGACGATTCGTTGCACCGAGCACTATGACGCCAGCATTCTGATGGAAGCCATCCATTTCGGAGAGCAGCTGATTAATCGTCTGATTCGCATACGGATGGAGGACAGAATTCGTGCGCTTGGCGCCAACGGAATCGATCTCATCGATGAAAATGACGCAGGGAGCACGTGCCTTGGCAGCCTCTTTGAATGAGACAAGAAAAGAATTATCATCCAGCATCCACAATCTATCGGCTACTTACTGAACAAATCTCTGACCCGTCTGGCGCCTTGCCCGACGAGAACTTCGTCGAATTCTGGTCCGGCTGCATGGAAAAACGGAACATTCGCCTCACCGGCAACGGCACGGGCCAGCAAGGTTTTGCCTGTGCCCGGTGGGCCGACGAGGAGCACACCCTTGGGCAGCTTGCCGCCCAGATTTGAGAATTTGTCGGGGCTCTTGAGGAACTCGACGACCTCCTTCAGCTCCTGCTTGGCCTCATCACAGCCCTTGACATCATCGAATGTAACATGTATTTCCTCCGGATCCACCTCGACCTGGTTGCCCAGTTGTATGCTGCTAAATTGATGCGAGGTGTTATGAAATGTTCATTCAGTAGATCGGGGCAGTGATCTAGAATACTCACCGGAACACGGAGCCATTCGATGAGGTGAAGAAGCTGACGAAGATGCCAATGAAGACGACGATCACAATGAGTGTCTGGAAAATCTGCGTGACAATTACTGAGCATTATTCAAGACACTAAGGTGCATTACAAGACACAAGGACGTGAACACAACAAACACAATTAAATCAATCACAAAAGGGAAGCAAGCTAGACAAAAGCTGGGAAGAAGAGGAGGAGGCTATTAGCTATGTGTATGCATTTACCTTCAGATATTTCATTGTCTTTCCCGATTTCTGTGAATCTTCCGCATTCGATGCAGCCAAATAGCCCTCAGCGAAAGCAATCTTTAAGCTCTCCTGCAAATAAGTTTAGCATTATAATTCCTGCTTTATCGGACAATATCAGGCAGCTATATATGTATATATACCGCATTCTGAGGGCTGCCGTGTTCGCCCGATTTGCTTAGCAGCTTCTTGAGCCTGTCTGCCTGCATGTTGTGTTCGCCATCGGGTCGAAGTGGCGCACCTTGGAGCGCAGACTTCAGTCTGGTTGTCATTGTGGGATTGCGTTTCTGATCCGCCTCAATGGAACGATCCGTCTTAAAGTCACGCAACTGTCGCCTGCAATTAAATCCGTATTGATTGCAAACATAATTCTTTAACTAATTCCACAATTTACTTACAGCTGATGAGTCGCTAGCAGCGGATTCAGCAGACCTCTCATCACAGTTGGATACATAATGCTGCAATTGAGAGATTACATGTAGTAAAATATAAAGAAGATAACACCTTTAACAGTTAGTTGACCTACATAGATCCGATATTTTGTGTGGCTTTCAGAGAGAGTTCAAACTTGCAATTTTGTTGTTTGCCCGGAGTAGTTTGTTGTTGTTGTGTTGTCGCCGGTTTCTCAAGTGTGACGTGCACCTGGCGCATCGAGGGCAGCATGCTGGTCACCTTGACCAGTGCATCGTTCACTAGCTCCTTGTCGAGTATGCCATTTAGTCTCGCCGCCCTCTCCACGATACCCTGCAAACTGACACCAGACTTGCTCAGCAGCGTCTTAAAATCCAGCACGAGGTCATGGCTCTTTCTACTACTACTACTGCTGCTGCTGCCTTTGCTTGTGCTGCTGGAGGCGGACTTTGATTTGTCGGCAAAGAATCGTGGAACGCTGGCATTTGCCGGCAATTTGGTTCGCTTCACGGTGTAATAGTGCGGTTTTCTACTGAAGTTACCCAGATAAAGGTACGGCTGTCATTGGAAATGGAAATTCAGAAATGTCAGTGGTTTGTGTGAAATGTGCATTGTATAGCGGGCGAGAGGGAGAGAGAGTTGCCCGGCACTTACCACAGAGTGTGTGTTGGCAGAAAACATTCTCAGAATATACAAAAATTTTATTAATTACAATAACAGGCTTAGATCGGGCGAGCGGACGACAAAAATTTTTGACAGCTGAAAATGTCATAATCTTGTTGCGTCCGTGTTGCATCCCTGATGATTGTGTTGCAGCCCTTGCATTCAGTTACCCCGCCATTCTTACAAATTTCAAATAATAAATGTTGAATTCGTTATTTACTCTAAGCCCTTTTATTATTTAAACATTTCGTACAATTTTTGCTAATTTCGTAAATAAAATCATCTTTAAATGGCTCTGAAGAGTTTGTTTTGGCAATTTTTGCCTAACCAAATTTTATTGTGGTCACACTGCTAAGAATAATTTCGTAATTATAATAAAATGAATTGCAAAACGAAAGAAATTAATAAAAGTGTGTTTAAATGTTTATGGAAACATTCTAAATATTTAGCTTAATGTGTATAAGTTTGAGATTTATTTAATTATACCTTTAAAATGTACGAAATACCGTTACCGATAAGAATTTATCGAAAATTGAAATCACTTTGAGGCGTTTATGCGAATGTAGAGGAAAGTAAAAAATGTAAATTATGTTTAAAGTAAATTATGTTTAACACATGAAAATAATTAGTTGACTTTCACAAACTAAACTAAACTATTGCCATTAAATACATCCATAACTGTAATTAAAAACTTTACACATTAATTAGGAAAGGCCTAAAATTCAACGACCTCTAGGCATGGTACAGAATAAGAATTATGGAATATAAGAGTGATTAAAAACAGTTACTCTCAAGATGGCGCTGAAGACACTTAATTATCAAATACGTACATACGAAATGCTCACAAGATGGCGCTGTTTGTCTAGCAACGGAGACATCGATATATCACGGTGGGATCGATATATTTAACAGTGGCTTAACAGCACGACGACAGCAGATAATGTCGTGTTAGTTTAACATTCAACTTCAACGGCCGATCGATCAGTCGAGTTTGAACTTCAACAGGTGTTAAAACGCATACGTTACGAGAGAAGCGGTTTTTCAACGGCCGCACACGAGATTTCGGTAACAAAAGGAGCAACAAACGGCATCGCTTGACTAACACAAAACAAAAAAACATATATAAAAGTATAATTTAAATTTAACATACAACTATTAAAACGTGACAAAATACAAATTTTATAACAAATATCCAGTAAAATTTGCACTCAAAAAATACTTAGCATATGTATGTAGTATAAGCAGTGCTGTAGATAAAACCTTCAGATTAAGTTTTGTGTTTGTTTTCGTTTGGATAACATTTCGTGTGTTTATTTTAGCCTATCAAAAACTTTTGGATTACTCCGCTACATTCGGGAGATACATAGAGGGAGAGAGAGAGAGAGAGAGAGGTAAGTGTAACATCCAAAAAAAAACTCAACATACAAAATTGATGGCAAGTGCAGTTTGGTGTTTTCAAGCCAGACATTGAATTTGAATTTGAATGAAAAATGGGGGATGAGATTTCGTCATAAGCATGCCTGAATGCAGTGTACGAGTGCGACTGCAATAGCAATAGCCAAGCGATCAGTGCAGAGAGCTGATTCGCTCTCTCGCACGTGCTTTTCAAGCCCGAGTCGCGCTAATGTGTATATGTATTTGGCTGTGTGTGAGTTGTCGTTGTAGTTGCTTGTCGTCTACCTACCTGTGGCTTCATTACCTGCCTGCCTGCCTTTTGCTGTGTGCCATATCTAAAAAAAAAACACCAAAACACGCACACACAAACACACACACACAGCGAGTTACTGCAGTGAGTATATAAGTGTGTGTGTGTGTGAGTCTATATTAAATGACACATAAATTTTCAAGTTAAGTCAGCATTATCTAAACAGTTGCCGTTTCTTAGCAGTAGTGGCCCAGATCTCCAACGCAATTTCGCAATATGATGAGTAGAGAGAGAGATAGACAGAGAGAGAGCCCAACTCTAACCTCACAAATACTTTCATACGATTACTCACACAAACACATGCACATTTCATGATGCAGCTAAAAGTGCAGCGATAGTTTTCTTGTTTTTTTTTTTTTTTTGTGTAGGGAGCGTTATAGATACTCAGTTGGCTAAACATTAACCGTTTGCTTGAACAAAAAGCGCGCAATTTCTGTAGCTTAACAAAAGTGCCGCACAGTAAGTGAAACGGAAAGCTTTCCTCAACATATACGAAGCTGGTATACTCTATCTTTTATTTTAACTGCAAATTGAATTGCTTTCCATTTGTTCCAAATTAAATATACATTAAAAAATAAAAAAAAATGTTTTTAAATGTTATTGAAATCGTTAAATTTAATAATTGTAATTATTTATGCATTTGAATAATATCTGTCAATTACCGAGCATTTGACAAAAATCCATTAATTTAAACAATTTTATTGACACTGTTTATAAAATGCTTTTGTCTGATTAATGTCGATACTGTTTTACCCTCGGCAGGGGTATGCAAAGGTAGATTACACATGTGTGTGTGTGTCTATGTGTGCTTGTGTGTGTGCATGTTTATTCCATTACTCTTTCCTTTCGAGTACTGCAGCGTGGCGAGTGCTATCGTTAAGGAGAGAGGGGAGAGGGATTCAGAAAAACCGGTAATGCATTCGAAAAGAAGTCACCTTCATATAGTAAAACTTAACTCAACTCGACTCGTTGCTAAAAGCAGCAAGCAAGCAAGCAAGACGAGGCAGAAGCGATCCGATCGCTGTAAAAGTCGAGCTGAATCGTAAGACCCAATACCCTGGCACCCATTTCCAGATACTATTTATTGTCTGACATTCACCGGTTGGTGGTTGCCAAGCGACAGCTGCAGCTGCGATATTATCATCAACTTATCTGCAATGCTATCTATCTTGAGACAATATCTGTATTTTTGGAGTTATCGAACAGCTGGAAAAATCTATTTAGTGTGCGGGAATGCACGACAGCCAAGGGAACGTGAAAATTTAAATTTTCTAGATTGAATTATTTATCTACTTCTCCCAATAATAACAAGTTAAACAAAAAAATGATATACAATTTTCTTGACTGAATTAATTATCTACTCTACAGAAAACCAAAAGATATATATTTATATAATTGTGTATGTATATACAAATATGTGCGTACATCAAAAATTCAAAACAAGTTTTAATGTGGATACTTCTATGATTTTAGTAAAATACATACAAACGCGAATATGTCTAGAATTCTTTATCAATTTCATGGCTGACTGAAATATAACAAACGAATAAAAACTTACGTACATATGTATATGTATATGTATATGTATATGTATATGTATATGTATATGTATATGTATATGTATATGTATATGTATATGTATATGTATATGTATATGTACATATGTATACATATTTATGTGCATGCTCGCAAGGTACGAGATATGAAATACTTATAACTTTTAGGAGGTGCGACATGATTACGTACGTTGGCCAGAGAGAAACGTGTATAGAAAATAGGTGTGTTGCAATTCCAAGAAAATAAATCTACAAGTATATTTTTTGTTTTGTATGCAAATTCGCTTACAAGTCGGTTGGGTTGCACAGCAAATCCTCGCTAAAGGCGGCAAAAGCGAAGTATTCATGATAGCCTCCTTTAATGTTGTAGGTATTTCCCTTGTCTGAAATGAAACGGAGTTGAGACCTTTCCATCAAACGGTGTTATTATAGCACTGGCGACATTATCTTATCTCGCCATGTTGCCATAAGCCGACACAGATACAGACACAGACACAGATACAGATAAAAGTTAACCGACTGCGTTTCGTGTGCTTGGCACTAATGAGGTCAGAGCACTCGGGTGCGACTCTAACTCTAACTGCAGCAACTCCGACAGCTCCCCCGGTCGCTTAACACCAGCGATTACAGTGGTAATTGGGTAGAGATGACTGTTGCCTGGTGCATCTATGTGGTAGTACTTGTGTCAACACAACAGCTCGTAAATAAGTTAAAAGCAAACATTGTTTGTAGCCAGGTGAATGGAGCGAGACTCGTCTCAGCGAGTTGAACTTCCATTTGGAGAAGGGCAGATCATGAGCAGTCTATTTAAAACTTTATGGGCCGCTTAACGAATTCGTCAAAGTGTCAGGCAAACATTTGGCAAAAGCTAAATGTTGTTCAGCGAGCTTGGCACTAACAGCACCAATTACAACAACCACAACAACAGCTTTAACTGGCAACTGGCAACTAGCAACTGGCCGCAGTTTTGTGTGTGGGCAAACTCGGTTAGTGGTTGTTGTTATTGTTGCTTATCGTAGTTGAAAAACAGAAAATTTAAGTGTCGGCACATGCGGCGTATGCGTAATGGCAACCACATCTGTGTACCCTGCTCCAAACAGGCACACACAACAGGCGTATTACAGTATTAGTAATTGAATGGTCTTTTAAATGTGTTAAGCGGCAAGCACTTCTATAAAACATTACTTTCCATTACTTTTTCTTTTCGATGGAATAGATATTAATTTTTCATCCATTCAATTGCTGATGTTTATTTTCAGTAAATGCATGTCTCGTTCTACAATTAGCTTCAAAACTTTTATAGAGGCTAAAGGTTATCTGTACATTTTAAATTTAATTTTAATTTTTTAATTTTTTTTCACAGAAAAATTTTATATTTTTTTCTATGAAATTCAAAGTGTATATTTAACAAATTCAGTGAAACAGACAATGATACTTATAAATAAATAATAATAAAACAGCTTCTATGAAGAAATGAAAAAACAGGACATACATTTTATTATTATTATGAATAAAATTATAGCTCGTATTAAAACAAAAAAAAACTAGAGTCATTCAGAATTCGACTGTGAAAAAAGTGAAAGGGGTATCTCATAGCTGAGCACCCAAGCGTGTCGTTTTCCAAAATTTGCCATTGTCTAATCAGAGAATTGGCACATGACTGTCATGCCAAAATTGTGGTTCTCTAAATAACAGAGTGTTTTTAGCGATTTTTCGAGATGATGTCATAAAGTCAGAAACTTACTGCAGGAACAGTACAAAAAGAACGCAGAGACTAAGCCAAGACCAAGACTATGGTCCGAAATGCATATATCCATAAACAGACAAACTATAGTTTATTGGTCTATCTACGTAAGCGATGTATATATGTATATATATATATAGATTTATTTAGCTATATATGTGTTAAATTGAGCGTGAAATTTTATAGCCGCATTACGACGAGTACTCGAATCGATACTGGTACGCATATTGAATGTGACATTTACCTTAACCCTGAGTTTAATCAATCAAGCCTGACTTCGACAGAGAGACAGATAGAGAGAGAGAGAAAGAGAGAGCAGCAATCATTAATCACTTTTTTCTGCAACAGTACCGCGAGTTCTTGTTGTGCACTCGAGACTGTTGAGCTGTTAAGCATTTCCAAGTGTCGAACTTGGACGTGGACACCATTCCTCTTTTTGGTTGGCTTCAATCTAACATCTGATCGAGGCAAGTGACAAACTCGGAGACCTTGCAACTGTTGCGTGACGCACGGCCAAAGCATTTCTTGTCAGCATACCCCTTAAAAGTGCATAGCTATGTTAGCACCGTAATTGAATTTCAATTGCAACGGATCTTAACTTTCACTGCCTATCTAAGCATGTAACACTTTATATATTTACGCAGGGCAAATGCATTTATCATTGACACTGTTTATTTCATGGCAAAATTCCACAAACTACTTATCGAGTTGAAAATATTTTTGTTGAAATGGCTTTCTTGATTGATTATCATAATTACATATATTTATTATAGTTATTCGGGCAATTTAAAATTCTAAACTTCATAATAATATAATAAGCATTTGCTTTCTTATAAAAAAGCGGCCTGAAAATCATTATAATTATGATGTCAATTATTACGAAATTGTATTTCTAATCTCTTTCTTTTCTTATATTCAAAAGTATATTTTAAAGTTGTATAAATATATATATGTTTTTTAATCGGATTGCTACTTTTAAAAGTAACTTTTCTTATTTAAAGTAATTTTTTCAAAAAGAATATATATTTTTCAGAACGATTTCTCTTTCAGATCGATATTTTTTGAGTGTTAATTTCCTTTAACTGGATATGTTGCATACAAAACAGTTGCTCATATGGAATTGACATATCAATATCATATATATGTGTGTGTATATATGTAAATACTTTCACGGCACAGATCATGATAAATGCATAAACTAGTATATTCGATTTAATTTAGTCTCAGTCATAAATAACGTATTAGGGCTGTAAACCGTAATGCTCTTATGGCCATAACGGAGGCGGTAGGCACTCAATCGGCCTGACATATGGCCATGTCTGACTCTGTGTGAGTCTTGCTGGATGGCTAATGAAATGCAACGATTTTGATTTCAGACGCAGTCCA